TGCCCACGCACCTAGGTTACATACCCGAATGGTGACATCACGGTCTGCCCTAAGGAAATGGGTTTCCAGGGATACTCTCCCTGTGTGAGACCTTCACTGCCACCCTTATGCCTCCCATTTCCGTTAAACAGCTAGAATACCTCCCATGCCATGTTAGGGTTCGAAAATACACTTGCGCAAGACTTCACAAAATGGAACACATTCCACTATATCATACTCTTGAATCCATCGTTCATTGTCTCATAAATATTAATACAATGATCGCAACTCATTACCATCCCATTTGATTTCCCCTTTATTAAGTGCATTATGTTCTCAGTTATAGCAAAGCATGGTCAGTATAATTACAAATCCAAACTAAACAACAAGTAATTTATTCATGGTAAAGCAAACATTCAAGAAACATAGAATATAAGAGTTGCAAACCAAATATGAGCATATTAACACAAATTTTCGGATTTCCAGATTTGAACCAGTTTGAAAATAATTATGAAACAAATACTTTTATTGGCCCTAAGTACCTAGCCTCAAGTTTGTAGATAAACAAGTCTAGTTTTAAACCCAATTTACGAAAGTAGGTTAGGTATTTTAAATTTTAAGATAATTCAGAATTATCAAAATCTGTCTAGATTCGTTGATAGTTACGCAAATCAGTTTTTCTTTCGAACCCCTCACTCTCTTGAATTCAAACAAATTTTAGTTAAAATATGACACCAAGATTAAGATTTTGACATAAAATTGGATTCAAGATTATTTTTCTGGAATTTTATAAAAATAGACAAAGTTGACTATTTTTCTGGTTATGTGAGTAACAAACTTAGAAAAAATGTTTTAGGTTATAAAAATACATCCTTAGGTCCTACCAAAATTATCACATACTCTAGACATACCAAATATTACACCATTAAAACAGATTTTGAGTTTATGGAGTTTTAATAGGAAAATAAATTCAATAGAAGGAAAAGATTTGTTGTTGGAAATTTAAGAAAGAAAGAGAAACATACCATTTCTTGATTAATACACATTTATACAAGAGTGTAGGCCTAGACTACAACATATATATATATATAAAGAGCATGTATTAGAAGGGGAAAAACAAGTGGTAAAAGAACTTGAGAGAAGAGGTGATGTAGGTTTACCTTTGTTGTACAAGACTCAACACAATTCTTCTTTTTCTTCTTCTTTTCTCTCTCTCTCTCTCTCTCTCTCTCTCTCCCTCTTTTTTTTCCAAGATCATTCTCTCTCACTCCTCTAGCGCATTGTTGAAAACGTGTAAAATGAGGGGGGAGAAGTGTGCATATATATATAGAGAAGGATTGAAAGGTTTCTTAGGGGCCAAGTTCTATAAGTGTGATTTGTCAAAGTTGCGATCAAGGCCCTTTCATCCATCACATGGTCAACTACTTGGGCTCCAAGAAATATATATATATATATATATATAATATTTGTATTCATAAACATAAAATAATAGGCATAAGTAAATTAATTAAGAAAGTACAACACTTAAGGTTTAGAATGAAATAAAATAGAAGTATATACGAACCAAGTCTAAATTTATGAAACCTTGATATTTAGTATACAATATACTAACATTAGAAAATAGTTAGAATAATAAATTTGGGTCCCGTTAAATTAAAGTGCAAACAAAGGCGAGAAACCAAGCAAAAACGGCATTACCGGGAATTAAGATTTTAAAGTGATTGATCTATAATTATAGGGTCTAATAATTAATGATAGGGTTTTAAAGGTGATTATTAATCTACGGGATCGATTAGCGTTTACTTGAATCAATCCGCGATGCTTCCCGATTCTAGGGTTTAAAACACAATTAAGCGAAAATTCAAGGGCTTTATTGAAATAAACTCAAGGTTAGGGATTTAATGGTAATTACAAAAATTAGGGTCTCTACATATTCAATGACAACAAATGAGAAGTTAGTTTCAATTCATCTAATCCTCATGCAATTTCTACAGCAATCATAGCTATCCTTCACCGATAGACCAAAACAGATATTTCTAAACAGATATACAATCTCCAAGATAGATAAACCATTCATATTTCTATAGATGAGTGATAATACATATCCAACTCCACCATTTATATAAACATCTATCTAATTTCACATTTCCAATACCAATTCCTTTTATTTATAGAAAATAAATATTTTAGACATTTTAGGGCAAACTCCATTTTCTTTAAAAATCTTACCCACGTATCAAAATCAACCATTTATTACAACACAACCTCATACTCATTCCCATAAACATTTTCATTACATCTATTTTTAAAACCCCTTTTTGATTTTAAATCAAAACCCTAGATTTGTTCAAAATCCTGCAAAATCACCATAATGCTTATACAAAACAAATAACTAAGTTAAAAGTTATAAATCAAAGCTAGAAGACAAGCAAAGCAAGAGAGAAACTCGGATGAAGCCGAAATCCAACTCTAATCAGATGAAAACAAAGCCCTTGAGATACTCTACCTTTTTAACAAAGGCACACGCGTAGAGAAACCATTAAATCTAGGTGAAAAGTAAAGAAAGTGTGAGTTTTAGAGAGAGAGGCTCTAGATCTACGGTTTTTGAAATGTTAAGAGAGAGAGAGAGAGAGAGAGAGAGAGAGAGAGAGAGAGAGATGAAAAATTGATGTAAAAAGTGACTTTTACGAACTGATATATGCACAGTCCGCTCGAGCATAAGAAGTGCACTCGAGTGCCAAACACAAAAATGATTACCACTTGAGCGTAAGAAGTGACGCTCAAGTGCCAAGACACAATGAAAAAGATCATCACCGCTTGAGTGTAGGAAATGACGCTTGAGCGTAGAATACACACTTCCAGTAGTTTTGCAGACAAAAGACATCACTCGAGTACAAGAATGGCCGCTCAAGCATAGGAAATACTGCTCGAGCGCAGAATTCACTCTCCTAGTAGTTTTGCAGACCTATAAAAGTACTAAGAGTTCACAAAGGCTGCTCAAGCGCAAGAAGTAACACTCGAACTGAGGAGTAAAATTATGGGCAACAAAAGTTTGAAAACCAAGCAACCAACATGTTCCAAACACAATTACTACAAACCAATAGTCAAAATTAAGGAAGAAAATGGGAGGTAAGACACGAACAACAATAAGAAACCATGAAACCCGAGTCCAGAATAAAAAGTGGGTTGGGTGTCTAAACCAGAATCGCTATACCAAATCCCTTCCCAAATCTCCTAACCAAACATAGTATAAATGAAATGAAAATCAATTGCTTTCAAATCTGACCAGACCTGTCTTCCTGTTAGAATCAATCTAATGTCTTTTTCTAGGCCCTCCAATGATCAAAACTTGGTCTATCCCTATGTGTATTAATGTGATTGCTATGTTTTTGTGGCTATTGATAAAAACATATATTTATACATAACGTGGTTTTTTCACTAAAATCTCTCTATTTATCCAATAAACTATAAATATAACGAGTCACATTACAAATAAGCAATATAATAATATAGTATTGCCACACCTTATGGTGGTGTTTAGTAGAGATTATTTTAAATTTAAAGCTGATAATTAGAAAATAGAAGTTAAAAGCACTCATTCCTTAACTTTTGAAAAATAAAAAAAAAAATTTGTTTATTTAAGTTATTTCTATCTAATTATAAACAGAAGTTGTATCAAATAGTCTGTCACAAATTGTTAAATTAAAATAAGTTATAAGCTACTTGTATGATCCCCACCAAACACCCCCATAAAAATGTTAGACATATTATTGTGGGGAGTAGAAGTTTGGCCCAAACATCTTATGCCCGAACAACCTAAGAAGAAGAAGACCCAGCACAATGACAAGCCCAAAGCATGATTGGCTAAAAGAAACACAATGTAGTCGATCACTATGATCAGCCATAAGAGACACGATCTAGCCGATCTCTAAGAAGTGACTTTTGATGAGGGCCATTCGTTTGATGAGAGATGAGATATCCAACACCATACGACAACTGCAAGTTGAATATCGTTTGACTATAAAAAGAGAACTAAGCCGCATTCTCATTACAAACATACAAAATAAACAATTCAATATATTTTTCTATTGCAAACGAGTGCAAACGAGGCGAGCCGAGCCGAGCCGAGTCGAGTCGAGCTTTGCTGAGCTTGAGCTCAGCTCAATAAGTAACTGGACTCAAGCTCGACAAGATTTTTTTTAATATTATTTATATTATTTAAATTAAAATTATTATTTATATAATATAAATAATATATTTATTATATAATTTAAATAAAGATAAATAAGCCAAGCTTATTTGAACTCAAGCTCGACTCGTTTACTAAACGAGTCGAACCGAGCTAAGCCCTTAACGAGCCAAGCCGAGCCGAACCTGCTAGTGAATTGCTCGGTTCATTTGCAGCCCTATGCATGATCAAGATATTTGACTTGATCGTTGAAGAGTCTTCCCAACCATTGTAAGTCGAGATGATATCTAACTTTGGGTTATTTTGCCGGATAAACAGAAGCTTGGATGTACCTTTTCACTACCTACCTGTGGAAACAAATCCATCCTCCACAATTATTTTATTGCATAAATCATTATCTCTCTCACAAAAACGGCGGGCAAATCTCCCGAGTATTATTGGTTATTTATGCAGTGAAATATAATTTCAAGTTCGTAACTTACTCTAACACAAATGAAGTTACTCTAACACAAATGAGAGAATGAAAACGTAGTCTGGAAAAAAGGTAATTCTTTATCCTTCAGCCTTCCAAAATCAAGGCTTTGACAAATGAGGGAATGGTCCATACATAGTTTAGAAGAATTCTTCCTTTCAATGGCAAGAATAAAGAATAAGGGCTTAGTTGTCTGGTTTGATAATTCCATCAGAATAACGCCTTAACAATTTAGGAATTTTAAAATAAATTATTAACATGAAAGAGTATATATTTTTGCTTCTAAACACATAGGGTCTATATATATCCTACTGTACATGCACTAATTCAAAATCAATCACAGCCTTACCAAAGGAAAAGACATGACATCCAACTATTAAAAACAATTACAGATACATATTAGTCCACACAATAATATTTTTCAAATCCAACACCAGCATACACAACCATGGTTCATAACAATATATAGTAGTACACATAATCAAATGGTCTCTTAGATTTACATACTTATTATGTAGCGAAACCAAGCAAATCTTAAATCAAAAAAAATAAAAATAAAATCATTTTTGACACATCCAAATGAACAAATAACCCTCATTCAGCATATTTGTGACGAACTAGCTAACATAAGATGATAATGAACCAAATTTTCTTTGATAATCTGAAACTCCACGTAAAGGCAGATCTAACCTTGTTTGAACATATCTCAATATTGAATCACCTGTAAGCAATTTGAACAACTAAACCAAGTCAATAACTATACAGTTACCTATTTTTATAGTGTTATACTTTTTCATTGAAATGTTACTCAACAATAATAGATTATATTATATTTCAATTTTTTTTTGTAACATTTCGGGAAAAAAAGAAAAAAACATTATACTGCCATAAAATATGTAATTGTATCACAAATTATTGTAATTTCATTTTAAAAATTACAAATTGTTGTAACACTACACCAACAAATTATGTAACATTTGTTACAAAAATTCATAACGTTTACTTAAAAAAATACTTAACTAGCATTTTCTTTGATTTGATTATATAACTATGTATAAGACATGGTCTATATTAATTTTTAAACACTATTTTACTCGAATAATATAAATGTTATTGTTTAAAACGTATGAAATCTATCTAGCGTCTATGAATATAAGATTTACGTGAATATGGTACGTAGACGTATACTTATGTTGGATACTCATACTGGAGTTCATATGATGTAAGGTTGAGAAAAAGCAACAAACACTTCTAACAAATCACTAAAATCACAATATTTCGGTTGTGTCGGCGGCCAATGTTATAGTGTGAACTAGCCTCCAACACCGAACTTCATGTAATTTAATTCTTATGCTATTTCAAATTCTATAAATTAGTACAAACCCTTTCAATTTATATTTCACCCTTAGAATTACAAGTTTGAATTACTACTGTACATTACTAACATTAATCAGGATGTATGTGTTAGACAAAGTTAATAATAATGAATATGAAGGTTTTGGATGACTATAAATAAGAGTCAATGACATACCTCTTCATTGGAATGGAGGGCATTCTTGTATTGACAATTGTACTGATGGTGGCAATTTATACCCAGAGCAAAAGCTTATCAGGTTTGGTAATTGTTCAAGGGAAACCCTTTCTAATTGAGGGAGCACAGAAATAATTTCAATTTGTTCGCTTGTTGCTTCATCTCTTGAAACTATTCCTTCCCTTACATTTGATTCTCTGGTTTTGAATATCTCTTTTAGGGACGAACAATATTTTATCTCAAGTGATTGTAGATTCTGCAAACTTCCAAGTAGTTCTGATGGAGCAACAAACAGTAATTCGTCACACCAACCCACAGATAAACTTGCTAGTTTGTTGAAGGAGTTGGTGGGAGGTGTGCTTATCCATATCTGTTCAGAGTTGCCCACGCCCCAAATTGTCAATTCTTTCAAGCAAGGAAACACAACCTGTATTATTGATAATAACATTAGGAATAACGAAAAAATTATTAACTTCTATTAAAAAGAAAAAAAGACAGAAAAAAATAAAGAGTTTCGATCTCTCAAACAAGTGAATGAACAATAAGTTGTATAAAAATTGTTACTGGCGATTTAATTTTTTTTATACTTTCCTCTCATTGACCACAATGAACAATAGAACTGATTTGATTTTTGCTTAGTAACAAGATACAAACAAACAAATTAGAACTGGTCACCTTTTGAAAGTGTTAAAATTCTCTATCTAATGAGGACCACAACTGAATGCAAGAGTAAGTATCATCTCTCTCTCACAATAGAAATTTTCACGAAAAAAGGTACATTTGAATTTGTAATCATAGCTACGAGATGGACGATTTATTGGTATTATTATCATGCATTTTCGTGAATTTCTAGTTCACCAACCTAATTGCATCTTTTTAGCATGTCTCCCAATTCCGTTACTACTATGAGTATCTCCACTATGATTTGCATAAACCTGATAGAGAAATATTTAATAAATTTTATTATCTTAAATTCGTTAATTGGTTACTGATTTTTTTAGTTAAGAAAGTAAAAAAGTGACAAAAAAGTTAAAACGTCACAATATACATATCAATTATTCACTTTTTTCTTACAATTATCTATTCAACTAAAAAATCATTTCAAACATACTAACTTTTTCACTACACCAAAAAATCAAAAAGTTACTAAAAAAGACAAATTGCCAAACAGGGCCTTAGAGTGGGTTTGTAATTTTTTTTCACAAATTAAAATATCTCAATTAGTTCTTGTAGATAGAGTTTTCATTGAAAAAAATAAATAAATGAAAAAATATATATATGATTTTTTCAGATGTATGAAATAATGAAAATAAGCAAACAACTTAAAACAAATAGAGTACTAAAAAAATGGGTAAATAGAATTAAGTAGAAAAACGCTAGTTACCTCTTAGTTATTTTTGAGGTGACAATTTTATTGGAAAATTTCGAGTCTCTAATAGTTAGGCTTAGCTTATTTTTTTTATTTTATGTTTTACCAATTGATAAGTGATTAATTAACATTTTACTTAGTGATTATGTGGTACCTTTTGTGGTGTGAGGTTTCAGTTTCAACTCTTATGGATAGAAGTTTGATATCTTTTGTGATGGTGTTTGTTTGTCCCCCGTCATAGGGGTTGAATGTAGATAGTAGTTGTTGGGTTTGGGATTGGTTGTGTTAGGTTTGGTGGTTGTTGACTCTCTAGTTCTTGTTGGGCTAATAGTCTATTTGATATGTAAGAAACAACTCAAGTTCAACAAATACCATAATAAAAAAACCCATGATACAAACAATAAATAACTCAATACAAATATGGAGACTAGGGATGATTATGGATCCGTCCAACTCGCTCAACCCAGTTGATCTGATCTAACTCAATTGATTTTTGGCAGACAGATGAGGATAAAATATTTCAAAATCCACTAATACGGTTTGGATGGCAAATCAACCATCTCACACTCACATGAACCCGATCCGCCCATAGATGAAGTTCAAAAAAAAAAAAAAAAAAAAAAAAAAAGGAATTGCTAACAAGTAACAACATAGAGTAGAAATAATTAAATATATATTTTTATAAAAATTGAAAATAATACCTTAAAAATATGCATACATGATGGCATGGCTTATTATAGACAAATAATACATATTTTTTCAAATTAGTAGTTATTAGAGATTGTAAAAGTAATGAATTATAATTTGAAAAAATGTTCAAAATTTGTAATGTTCAAATTGTCATACCGATCGCATCCATTCGCCAATCCGCATCTACCAAACCGGTGCATGGATGCGGATTAATTTTTTCAATCTGCCTAATTTCAGACTGATGACGGATGGGATGTCACCCAACCCAACCCAACCCGATCCACGATCACCTCTAATGGAGACACACTAGGTTAGCATTAAAATCTAAGATATACTCTATCTGTATCAAACTGCTTGTTTATTTTTTACATTTGTGTAAATAATATATTAAGAACTTACGTGTAGGTCCTAATAAGTAAAATTGTCCAATAGGTCCTATAATAATTAATAACATTTTTCATTAAATACTATTAAAAAATGTCAGTAATTGCTAATTTCCAACGATAGTTTGAAAATTTTGTCACAAAAAATGTCACTAAATTATAACTTTTAGCGATAGTTTAAAAAAATTGTCACAAAAAAAAAGGTTACTAATTTACAACTTTCAGCAACAGTTTGAAAACTTCAGCACAAAAAAAAAATCAGTAATTGTAAGTTTTAGCGAGAGTTTATGAAAACTGTGACCAAAAAAGTCACAAATTGTCAATTTTTAGCAACATATGTAAAAAATCGTCACAAAAAATTATTTTTAGCAATGAATTTATTTGGACTTATTTTGAATAAGACTTTATGGGAATTAAGTCTAAATATTAAAAACTATTGGTAGTTTACCCTACTATATTTTTATAAATCCAATTTTTTCACAAACTAAAATATATCAATTAATTCAGTTTTCAAAATCATTGAAAAAAATAATAAAATATAGACTATTTTTCGAGACGTTTGAAATTGTGAAAATAGACAATCAACTTGAAACTAGGAGAGTAACAAAAAAATGTGTAAATAACATTAAGAGGAAAAACATCTTAGTTACTCTTAGTTAATTTTGTGTTAGACAACTTTTTTTTTTTTTGTTTTTTGTGTTTAAATTTTGAGTCTCTAATAGTGGCTTTGCTAGTTTTATTTTTTTTTATTTTATATTTTTCCAATGGATAAAAAAATTAATTACAAATATGAAAATAATTATTATATCAATTTGAACAATTATAATCCAACAACTCAACTCAACAAATTACATCAATTTGTTTGGGAACCTTGATTTTTTGCTAAAAAACTTACTATAAATTATTGAATCATTTTCTTTATTCTTTTATATGTTTTTTTATAAATAAAAAATAATAATTCTCAAATACTTAACAAATACCACTAAGAAAATCAAGGGCAAGAAAGTAAGAAACTACTTAAGCCCAACAAATACCACAGTAAAAAGCCCATAATAGAAATAAATAAATAACAAAAGGAAAATGATAGAGAGATAATCCATCTTTGTGTTTGGTTAAAAATTAAAGAATAATAATATATGCACCAATTAGTCTACTAACTAGTGTATCAATTGATGATGTAACATAATTTAAGAGGTTTTTGGTATTTGTAATGTGATTAATGAGTAGGGTCAATAATAATGTTATAACTAGTGTTGACCCCACTCATTAATCACATTACAAATACCAAAAACCTTTTAAATTATGCTACATTATCAATTGTTATACTAGTTAGTACACTAATTAGTGCATGTAGCACCACCGAAAATTAAAACCCTTAACCTTCCAGACCAAAGTAAAAATTTTATTTTGTACTCTAATGTACTTTAATTGACGACTTATTATTAGATGTACTCATGTGTTTTCCATCTAAAAAAAAAAAAACCTAGCAGTGATACCGATGACGTGGTATCACCACCAATCAATAAATATACATTATGTGGAGGGTCAACCCAACAATTACCTTGCCACACATACATGGAGGGTAAAAGATAAGAAATAATTGGTTGATAATACTAATGATATGGCTTGATAATACTAATGACATGGTATCACCCTTATATTAAAGTTTTTTCTTCCCCATATAGAAGTGTAAAAAAATGATCAATTCAACTAGTCTGGTTAATTAGGCTTAATTAATTACCCCTTAATTATTTTTTGAACACTGAAACTTGTATTTTATTCTTACTAATGTTAGATTGGTTGGCTAGATAGTCTAATAATATTTGTTATTTGATTTTCACGTAAAATTGTATATTTTATACAATGCCTTTACTTTTAACGTAAGATTCATGCATATACAATGGCATATTAATTAATTATCACACTCACACACCCTCCAATTTGCTATTAAGCAAGTCCAATGGCACGAAATTAATAAACAAACTAATAATTTTTTTTTTCTCAAATTTAATTTCAAAGGATTCAAAATGAATATGAACGAATCATTTACAAACTTCTTGCTCTTTTTAAAATTAATTTGCATTTGATGTTGTATTTTTGGATAAGAAGAAGAAGATTCCTGGTTTAGTTCTTGAGGAAACCTATTAAACTACAATCACAATGATTGCAATCTAGTATTCAGCCTCTTTGCTCATCCAATAACAAAAAAAATAAAACGTGTCATTGTAAATATTGTTCTTAATAAGGGCTTATGATTCATCAGTCTCCAAATTGATGTTTAAATAGAGTTCATAATTCTATTATGAAATACTGTCTTGGGTTTAGGAATTTTTTTTTTTTTTTTTTCCGTTCTGATACCAAATGTTTTAAGGTGCTGTTTTTAAAAGCTTAAACAATTATGTTATATTTAGATCTAGAATTTAAAAATGAAAGTATTTGTACTTGTTTATTTTTTCTGCATAAAATATCTACAATATGTATATATATATAAATAATAAAAGTCCCTCAAATCTATATCACATGGCCAGCCACCCTAGCATATACACTTGTATATGGAGGAAAATTTGACCTTGATACCATAATTCAAGAAAATTTGTCTTGTACTTGTAACTAGCTTAGTTCTAATTAAACATAACCCTAACTAGAACTTGTTTAAGTACACAATTAGGGCCCTAATCACCCCTCATTCCATTACATCCTAACTAAATCCAAGCCTATTTAATTGAATTGGAACTAAGGACATTTTGAACTTTTCACCATTCTTTTTTTTCTATAAATACACCAATCCTCTCTACACTTTTGAGCACAAAACACACTCACACATATTCAGCTGAGAAAGAGAGGAGAGGGAGAGGAAAAGAGAGGAAGAGAGCTTTGGTGGTAGAGGAAAGGAAAAAAGAGAAGAAAGTGTGCAAACTCTTCCACTAGGCAATCAAGTAAGCCACATCACCATCTCTCCTTCTATTTCATTTTTCAAATACATTTTATTAGAGATTTAAAATTATGTTTTTAGATGTGTTGTAATGGTGTTCATGTGTTCAAAGTGGATAAGTTTGGCTTTGATCCTTCTCCTACTCATATTTCCTCTTAATAGATGCAAAATTACATTTTTCTTCCCATATCTCACATTATTTCCAAAGGCATACCACCACTCTAAAAATCTGAGTTATTGACACATTATTTAGTATGTTTTCATCACAAAATAAGTGAAAATTTTCCCTTAGTTGGCATCTTTTCTTATCAATCTTCTTGATTTGAGTATTGTGCATGAAAAACCTATTTCGTAGCCAACTTTCAAAAATTCTAGAAAAATGTAGAAAAATCTCCTGGACTTCGGTTTTATGTCAAAAGCTTCCTTAAATAGTTATCTTTCAAGGAAAATTGGTTTCATTGAAAAAGAGTGAGCAGTTTATAAGAAAATCTATTTTTTTAATGGTCGATGAATCTGAACAGCGTTAGAATGTTTCTTAAATAACTAAAAATCTAGAAAAGTTATTCCATTTCTGAAAAATGTTCTAAAAACTAGATGGAATTCGATAAGAACCATACGAAGGCCAGGCTCGGGAAAAATCTGAAATGGTCCTTTTGATTTTAATTTTTAAATGGTACTGAATTTAGAAATTTAGTTTTGCATTGGTATTCTAAGCTCTTGTCTTCATGAATATGCTTATTAGTATATGATCATGTCTTCATATATGATATTGCACGTGTTATGGTTATATTCTTTATCTTCTTCATTTGATGATGCTCATACTTATGTGGATATTACTATCTTGTTAAGTTGTTCTAACTTTAATTAAAGACATCTAACTCGACAGAAACCTTAATTGTGGTGGTATTGGGTTTTCGATCACGTGAATAATGAAGAGGTGATAATGTGTTATGTATGGATTGATGTGCTCCCTAATTGAAGTTAATTCTTGCGCAAGCAGTTATCACATAGACCCTAGAATGGAATGGACGTATTCGGACTCTTGCGATGATTTGATTTGGTGAGATAAGGTTGGGTCTAGGTGGGACATTCAGGAGGATAAATTTTTTTTGGAAGGATATGGTTGGATTCGGGATGATAAAACCTTTTTTCTTTTCGCTATCCCTTTTGAGGTTCATCGATGGCGCTGCGCGATATGTAGCCGTTGCAGGCATTCGTGGTAAGGTCTACAAAGCAACAAAAGGGGGAGTTCTAAATAGTTCGGTGTCCAATTCTTGTGGTTGGGAGGATGAAATCTCTTTGGTGGATTTCTAGATTACTAACATCTAACCTTGTAATCATTTATTATTGAATGATTATTATACTTCATTAATTGCTTCATATAATTGTAATGGTGTATTGGATTTGGAAAAAGGAACGGGGTGTGTGCGTTTACTGGACATTCAAAGCTTAAGGCGTTTCATGCCAGGTATTAAGGACTATTAGACTGGTCAAAGGCAGGGCTGACGGATTTGAAGACGTATGGCTACCCTATGAGAGTTAGGAACTAGTTTTGTAAACACATTTTGAGATTGTAAATAATTAATTGTTTGTTGTATTTAAGATATGATTTTGTAATTATTTTATATATATATATATATATATATCATTTGTAACCCATCCTTATACTCTGTCAACTCATGTAGGCCTTGTGTTAATACTTTGTCAAGATCTGCCAAAAAGGTAGCTTTACTATCCGAGGTGGTTGGACTTAGAAGTGAGGCTATATTTACTCCTCCGACCTTCCTGGGATCTTACTTAGTTATTAGCCAAATGACTCATTAGTGACGTTTCCTACTCTTATAACCTTAGATAACCCTATATTTATTTGTTAGTATATTCTTTGATATTCCCGATTTTTAAGGTGTTACAGCCGCCAAGTCGTAAACATGAAATGATTAATATTACAAACTCCTCTATAAGGCACAATTCGTGTTGAATTCGCATCTAAACACTCATAACCTCACAGAAACAAAAGAATGAATAAAATTACAATTAAAAGAAGTTTTGTCAAACGGGGATTGTCAATTACAAAATCCTAACAAAAGCAAATATATATATAGATAAATTGGACAGCTATTTATTTTTCTTTATATTTTCAACGAAAGTAAAAACATTCCATTCATCTCACTTGGTTTTTCTTTTTTTATTTTCACTTCCCTAAACAAATCCTACAACCAAACATAACGTAAGAATTCATAGATTTTGTGATCAGGATCTACGGTCAAAAAATAATATTGTCTCCATGACGTCATTAATTTTATGTCTAAGGTTTCCGTTTCAGAATCTACTTTAATTAGGTTTCAATTCAAGATCTTTTGGGTGGTATTAGTATTAATCTTATTTTGGTTGGGAATGAATGAAGGAAAAAATTTCATGCACACTCCGGACCATATTTCATAACTTTATCATAATTAATTGTAACAAAATCACAAAAATACACAAGATTGCTCATCCAAAAAAAGAATCTTCGTTTTTTTAATGTTTATAATACCACAAAAATTAGTATACTTCCTTACGATTAAAGGTAATATGGGTAGAAAAATTTAACTAATAAATCTTTGAACTCAAAAATTGAACTAGAAATTTATCCAAAATGGAGATGACTGGCTTAGATTCAACTTTTGTATTGTGGATTCATATATAAAATGCATTTAGACATTTATTAAAATTTTTGAATAAATTTATGGAGTAAATATTATAAGTATTTAGCACTATCGAATTTTTAATCACATGCTAGTATTGATACTTTGAATTTTATGAAAGTGGTTTATGACTGGACTGATTAGAAACTAAGTACTCTAAAAATTTAAAGTCATAAAACTTATAGTAGGCATACCTTTTCATTAAAGAGGGGTAGTGGTTCTGGAATTTCTATTCCCTCTTCTCCTTCAGGTCCACAATAGTCACAGATACTCTTGAGATTATATAACCCAGAAAGCTTTAGAGAACGCAGTTCAAAAAAAATGAGAGGCTTATTGTGGGCCCCTCTTTCCTTATTAGTTACTATTATTGCTTTCAATTTGGAGCATCGGAATATACGTAGATCTCGGAGACGCGGTAGGTTCCTTAGTTGCCAAAATGATTCATTCTCTTCTTGTTGGACTTGGAGTTTTAATTGGTTGTCCCCTATTATCCCTGATATGTTTCCTACATTACTGATTTCCAAGTCCTCCAGGGAAGGAAATGCCACCTGCAAAATTTAATAGATCAAACTTATGTTCTTTCAATTATCAAGCATTTCCAAATCAACAGAAAAAGTTACTACAAAACAAACCTTTTCACAAAAGAGAGGTCGTGAAGAGTTAGAATTGTTTGCCTCTGTTGTTGAAGTGTTTTTCATACTCGAATAGAAGCTTCTAAGGTTGGGTAAGTTCTTTAACACCATTTTTTTTAAATGATGAAAAATAATTTCCTCCTCATCTCCTTGTGTTTCATTTCTAATAATTTCTTCCATATCCTCGCAGTGTTCTATTTCTAGATGTTGGAGTCGCTCAAGACCTCTTGCAATGGAGTGTGTGAAGAGAAATTTAAATTGACAATTTCCAAGACGCAATTCACACAAGTTACAAAAAGAACCTGGTGGAATTTGTGGTTGAGATTCTAGAAACCTTTCTGGTGTGCCAAGAAAATGTTCAACATCATCAGATTCTTCGACTTCAAGATACTGTAGTTCAGAAAACCCCGTTCCATCTTCATCGTTAAACAGACCCTTTCTCATACCTCGAAGGCTAAGTATCTCAAGGTTCCTTAAACTCTCCAATAAAGCTATGTCTCTCATCAATCGGCCGACATTTAGACATAACATCCGAAGCTTAACTAATGTCAGAAGTGATGATGGCAGGCTCTTTATAGGCATTTCACTCAGATCTAGGACTTCAAGATTGTTTTCCATTCCATTGAAAAAATTGTTTGGAAAATCTGTTGGTGAGTCATTGTCGCACTTTAACACCAAGGTATGGAGTCCTCTACAGTCCAACTCATTGGGAAACTCATGAATAGTTGCAGTGAACCTTAATGAGATTGCCGAGTAGTGTTCATATTTGCTTTTCTCTGGCCACTTCTCGATACCATGTTTTACTAGATATCTTTTCTCATCTTCTGCGATCGATATAGCAACATCTCGAATAATATCATGCATTTTGACCACACTTTCATGTGTGTCATCTAACAACAAACAAGATGTTTTGAGGACATCAACCATCGCAAGTACTCTATCTCTTACTTCATCAAATATATTTAGGTTTTCATCAAGTAACCCCATCCCAATGCTATATCTCACCAATTCGTCAATTGAAATCTCAGCATCTTCTGGAAACAAAGAGCAGAGCAAGAAGCATGACCGTGCATCCCTGGGCTCTAGACGATCATAGCTCCAATTTAATGAGATTAACAAATTTTGATCGATATCCGCAATTTCTTTTATCTTGTAATTTTTAAGTTGTCGAAGTGCATCTTTCCACGCATGTTTTCCCTTGTGTTTTAATGCTACTGCAACTGCACGTATAGCAACTGGTAAGCCTCCACATTTGTCACACACTTCCTTTGCTTTAGAAGGGATTTCAGATTCCACAGAAATTTTTCGGCGACTTTCTTAAATAGGGCCCATGCTTCTGGCTCTCGTAAGACTCCTATCATGAACTCTTTGGTCCATGCTTTTGGCATCGCTATGACTCCATTCAAGGAATCGTTCTGATTGACTGGCACTGACATATTTTGGCACAAACCTCTTTTCCGTGATGTTATCACAACTTTGCAGCCCTTATTACCATCAGTAATTGGAATTTCAATGTCCGCCAAATCAAGTGGTTTCCAAACGTCGTCCAATATTACGAGGTTCCTTTCCCCATTGTTCAATCTATGATATAGTTGATATGCGTGTCCATCTAGTGTTAGTCCCAATTGGAGCGCAAGTTTTTCTTTAACAGCTTTCTCATTCAGGGTTTGGGAGATAGTTGCCATCACAACATCATCAAATAGCTCATTTTGCTTTGCTAGCTTGCCAACCTCTATTGCCATTGTGGTCTTGCCAACACCGCCTGGTCCGTATAGACCAATCATTTTAATGCAAGGATCGGCCAACGCTTTCATGATCTCCTCAAAGATCTCTGCTCTTGAATCAAAAGCCACGTAACCTTGGGAGAAATAGTACCCAAATTTCAAAGGAGGTGTGCGCTGTGCCACTTCTATTGTCATATACTGTTTGCCGCTGTCTTTGAGAATAATAACACGAGTTGTCTTCTCTTTGGATTCCTTGCCTAGCTTGTAACGCCGAGAAACATTCGGACAACATTTGAGGCACCACATGTTTTCTCTTGTTGCTTCTACCAGTAATGCCTCCACATCTCCTTTGATCCCCTTTGCTGACGCTATCCACTGCAGAACGTCAGCCTCGGGGATTAGACCAATGTGTTTGGCTCTCTCGACCCTTCCATCGATCCTTGTTAGCTCATTTTCAAATTTTTCGGTTTCGTTTAGGAGATTTTCAATGTTCTTCTTGTAGTCAATCACATAGCCAATGTGCTTCCAGGCTATTTTGCAGCCTCCTGTGATTAGGGACGAAGATTTGCTAAGGATTTGGTCCAAACCAATCATTTTTGTTTTTCCTTCCTTATGTCTCTCTTCAATTGCTGAAAACAAAAGGCACAATGTCAGTAAGAAAAACTAAACTGTAGTGAAAGAAAGTATCAGAGTTTTGGATTCAAGAGTTCCTTTTAGTTATTTATATTTATCTATATACGATATATCTATATCTATATACACTATAATATAAGGGAATGGGAGTTGAGCACTTTTAAACAGTGTTTTTACCGTTCATAAGTGGCTCTGTTTTTTGTTTGGAAAATGTTTGAGGGTCACAAAATCAGTGGCTCAAATGGTTCAAAACTGCTAAAACGACGTCGTTTTGCGTTGTTTTGCATCCAAAATGACGTCGTTTTAACAATTTTGAGCTATTTGAACCACTATTTTTGTGGCCCTCTAATATTGCCGTTTTTGTTTTCCATTTTGCCCCTCTTTTTTTTAATGGTCAAAATACTCATAAAATTACTTTCTTGCTGTAAACATTGAAATCAGAGTGGCTTTTTATTTTGGAGAAATTACAGCCTATTTTGAAAAGTAAATTAAAAATAGAATTTTTTTTATTTTTTTAAAAAATATATAAAAAAGTAAAGAAATAATATAACTTAAAAAAATTAAAAAGGTGACTTTTAAACCATGTTGCCAAAATAAGCCAACATCTCAATGTGTGGGAGAAAAAAAAATAAAAAAATTTACACAAATATGGAGGGGTCACAATTTCTCACTTGTATCTCATCACAAAATCACTTACATGTCACATGTTTTTGTAATATTTTTTTGTTCATCTCAGTGTGTTGAAATTTTCCCTTTTATTCATCATTTTTAAGCTCACTTTCGTAATTTTATGAAAAATTACATGGAGGTAGAAAAAAAAAATTACTAACGCATGAAATGTAAATAAAAAACTATAAAGAATCAAATATGTGTTAATAAGTTTTTTCACTTCTCACATCCAAGTAAGTCTCTTAATTTTGTCACATGGTGAGTCTTCTGTTGCCTACTAGTAGCTGATAATTGCACTGGATCTCATTGAAAAATAATTGGGAGCTCTAATAAATGAGTTCTAATGTGAGTGGATTTTACTGTGTGATGTGATATTTTGATCTTGATTTTATTTTATTTTATTTTATTTATTCTTTGTCACATTATTAGAACTCAATTAAAACTCTAAAATTAGAGGGATGTATCATTACCCTTTTTCATTTAAGAGAAAGGATACTTTCCTTCCCATCAACATGATCATTTCATTTGTATTAGGACATCCACTCAAAAAATCTATATACTTCAAGAGTAATAAAACTCACTTTATTAAAATAAAACATCTCTAAAGGTATTTTTCTTTAAAGTTTATCAATTGTGCACAAAAATTTTACATCAATGTTTCTATATTATTACGTTTTATATTATCAAAAGTAATTTTTTTATTTTAAATCATTTAAAATTTAAAAAAAAATTAAAGATTTATTTTAAAAACGACCTACATATTTGACAAGAGATCCACTTTACAATTAAAGATAAAAATAAAAAAAAAAAAAAAAAAAACAAAAAAAAAAATAGATAAAGTTTGTTTTATGTCAGGCTTGTAGCCTTGTGTGGATTAACTCTTGATTTGATTGAGCAGCTTAACATGAGGGATGGCGATCAAATTGATGCCATGACGCACCAAGATGGAGGTGGGCTGTAAGGCAAATGACTGAGTCCCAGAAGGAATCTACATAGCAATTTAAAACAAAAATAAAACCCTTGCAGATATATAATTTATTGGATCTGTGTAATGCAAAGGTGAAAGAAAAAGCATGGAAAGATTGTAATGTTAGCTTCCATTTAAACTATTAACTTTTCTATTTGGTGGTGTT